GTTCTTTGGTCTTCCTCTTTTCCTTTGGCCTTGAGGATTCCATGTGAGGGCTTGTCTTGTAACGCAGTTGGGTGCTTTCCTCAATGTGTGTCCTATTCACTTCCAGCGCTTCTTCCTGATTTCTTCCTCCGCTGGGATCTGGTTTGTTCTCTTCCACAGTACGTTGTTGCTAATAGTGTCCGGCCAATGGATCTGAAGTATTTTGCGTAGACAATTGTTAATAAACACCTGTATTTTCTGGATGATGGCTTTCGTAGCTCTCCAGGTTTCTGCCCCATATAGTAGAACTGTCTTGACATTTGTATTGAAAATCCTGACCTTGGTGTTGGTTGACAGTTGCTTTGAGTTCCAGATGTTCCTCAGTTGTAAATATGCTGCTCTTGCTTTGCCGATCCGCGCCTTCACATCTGCATCAGATCCACCCTGTTCGTCAATGATGCTGCCTAAATACGTAAAGCTTTTCACATCTTCCAAATCTTCTCCGTCAATTGTGATTGGATTGGTGCATTCTGTGTTGTATCGGAGGTAACTAGAATTAAATAAACCGCTATAATTTTCAAACTTTAACTCCTAGACGCTTCAGTATAAGAATAGAAGTGATTAGGACTCAAATCAGAAAGTAATGGTAATACATTTACGATGGGTATCCAATAGAGAAGAGCTACATAGTCAAATATACCCATTCATAGGGAATTCCGTATTAAAGTACATGAATTCTCATATGGTAGTGTAATCAATCTCAAAGGTTTAATGTGACTGAAACACGTAGTTACTAGTTTTTCCTTATTTTACTTCTTCATCTATTATAAACTGCTTGGTGGATTATTGGTTACGAATAACAATCCTCTGAATGGTTAGTTGAAAGAATTTGTAAACAACAGGTTGGTAAGTGATGAACATGATTCCGAATATTGTAATTCATTGTTTACAGTTTAATGATCAAACAGCAAACACACCGGGGCTCACTAAATGTATGTTACTTTGACAAAATATCTTTTTATATAGAACCTATGAGTTTAGAAGTTACCATCGTACAACGTTTATGAGCAAGCCATATACTAAAGATGGTGTATCAAAAGCAATCAATGATCAATTTGTAATGAACAATTCTAAGTAATTATTAAGGTTAGAAGATACAAAGATGTATTTAGTTACCACTGTCTTTAAAACTCTTCTAAAGCTTTGTTTCTCTGTACTTGGTTATGTCCTGAATTGTATTATTACAAACTTAAATCCTATAAAACATTATGTAGGTGCATCCAACTGATGGGTCCCATTTAAGACGAAACGCGCGTTCTGAATTCCATTTCTAACCACTAACCGACTCTACTGGATTTCCATAATGAACTTTTGAATTAGATTGTTAGGTAAAAAAAGAATACTAAAAGTCAATTTCTTGTTTTTAATTCTTAAGTGTCTTTCTGGTAGACCAGTTCTGATAGAAAATAACATACTACTGTTAATTAGATTAAATCTTGATAGGACATCTCTGAATAATTTTAGAATCTAATATAAGTATCTGTCAGTGATGGAAACGGGATTCTTTCTAAAAAGTGAGTTTTTGAAAGGATCCAAAACAGACTAACTTTGTTTTTTTTTTTGATGAAAAATTAAGAAAATATCACCGAATAACAATTTCATAATGAAGAGTGTATTAAATTAATAAGATCTGGGGATCACAATGTGACAAACTTGTCCAATAGCTTTGACGAAAATCAACAAATCATAACAATAGGACTCAAACATTATAATACTGAAGCTCTCATGAAATAAATCAATATCTTTTCTCATCTATATAAACTGTTTGTACAAAATTAATCAAACAGAAATCTATGTATATTGAATGGGTTAATGAAATCATTTCATTTTTATGTTCTAATCATTAATTCAGTGTTCTAGAACTTTCCCTCCCAAACTTTATTTATCCAAAACGAACAATTTTTAATGAACTTATTGAACTCTATTTAAATCTTTGGTACATCATGATACACATTTATATTCATCTTTAATCACCCTCGTATATATATAAGTATGTCATTATGTGTAATAACGTTGATTTTCAAATAGTTTAGGCTATAAACAGCTGATGTGAAACCAATGAAATAAAATGACTTCATATTATTCTGTATCAACCTTCATTCTTGCTCTCTTTGAAGATAATAAAGGGAATTATGTGTATGGAAAAAAAACAAACAACAGTAAAAAATTCACTTGGTGTTGTTTTACTTGTATTTTCTCATTGTTATTTGGGACTGCAATTGATCAATCTCATGCTGGCATATATGCATCCTGTATGGATTGCCTCGATATAGCCTTAAGTTTGAAGCGAATGGTACTGGGTTCGAGTCCCGGAGTGAATATCAACTCTGCGATACAAGTACATCCAGCTGACGAGTCCCAAATAGGACGAAATGCACGTCCTGGATTCCACTACTAGTCACTATCCATCTTTGCTTAATAACAACAATAGTTTATGATCAATAAGTGATAATTAGTATTTGTATAGAATCATTTCTATTATTTCTTAGATCTTATAAAGTTCTATATAAAATCATAAATAGATAGATTTCATTTAGTTTATCGCGCTACTTACTAATACCTATCTATCTAACTATTTATATAAATTAATTAACTAGATTTCTAAATCACTATTGTAATTTCACTTTCTCTCAATAACTAAACCACCTGGACAGATACAAAATTATTTGCACAATTCATAGTTGAATGATTTGGCGAATATTTAATTTCTATATTATATAAATGTATATAATAAGTTTTATTTATTCACTTGTTTAATACAAGTTACTACACCTGCGTTATACAGTAAATAAAGTTGATTGTTATATATATATATATATATATATATATATATATATATATATATATATATATGTTAGTTTACCGTCAATCTATTTACTTGTTTTGTTCTAAACTAACTTATATGAATTAATATCAGTTGTATCTATGTATGTATGTAGGTAGGTATGTATATATATCTTCCTTCAATTAGAACTCATACTTCTATAATAGAAAATAATAATAAGCATATAATCGAAAAATAGTTTCTAATAGTTTGAAGAAAGAAATTTATACACCTTCTTTTGTGGTTACAGTCAATCACTCTCTCACACACACACATGTATATATATACACCTACATATACACAAACACTCATATTTTATCGGATGGGATTCTGGTAGTGTATTCATTTGCTTGTTTGTTCAATAAGGGACAATGTCTATCTGTGAGCACATAACTAATTATGGATGAAAATATAGAGATGTTATTGATGAAATATCTATTAAACAGATTATTAATAATAATAATAATAATCTTATATTGTTATACACGCAATCCCTTTGTTTTCTATAAGAAGTTCTCTTGTCCTGAAATACTTTTAATTATTTATGAGAAGAAGGAGAATCGAAAATTAACTTTCTACAGGTGTTAGTAGGATAATTTACCTGATTCATTATGATAGACAAATACTAAATTTGTGTTAATATGCACAGATTAATTATGTGTAGATTGTCAAATATTATACAGAAAACAAAAGCGATAATGTGGAAAGAACAGAAAGAAGTTCCATTTGAGCAAGTTTATTTAGTTATTTAAACACATAACCATTGATACAAGGAGGCACCAAATACATGTGCGTGACGTAAAATCATTCGATTTTTGAGGGTTGGACGCCCAAACTGAAGCAGGTGGTTTTCATAGGGGACCAACACCTGGAGCCTTTGACCTAAAGGTCTGATCCACAAGTCAGTGGAGTAACCTTGGGAGATGCAGTCCCATGGTAGTCGGCGACCAGTAACTGTTTCATATGCTATTTGCTTCCTCAGGACCCTGGAGACCATGTGCACCATTCGTTTTACAACTCCCCTAGGTGGATTCTCCATATCCATCGACCAACCCGATTAAAGTTCCGGACATTCTCTTTTCGTCCTCTTAATTTTGTAAACAACACTCCGACAGCAAGAATGGATTGAGTAGGATGTCTCTGACAATAAAGATATACACGTGGCCATGTCAGAGCATTTAGAGAGAGAGAGTTGACTCTCCCCACTCTCAGCTGTACCAGAGCATTTTAAGGCCTGTAATTAAGTTCGAATTTGATTTTTATGTAGTAAGACAAATTAACAATGGAATTCGAAGAGGCGATAATTCATTAATTTAGTCTTATTAGAAATGAACGGTGGAATTTTTCGTTAACTTTCGTCCTAATATTGTTAGTTTGTTAACTGTTCTTATAGATCATATCTTTTTCAACAAAATAGGAGACTTCTATGATTTTGGAACAGCCTAGTTAAAATTTCTTTTGGAACGTCCATTCTATTTAGCCATTATTAGTATAATATTATAATTTACGAATTACTATTTCTGATACTTAGATACTACAGGAATTTGATGACAGAGTCATATGGACATTACCTTTATAAGTTGTATTCATCATAGATTGATATCATTTGGGGATGCCTTTAAAAACCAGGTAAAACTTGACGACCAATTCATTCTTGTTTAGGACTTACATTCACTTCAAACCAACTAGATAATGTTGTTTAGATTGTATTTTGGTGACTATAAAATTGCATTGTAATGCATTTTTCAGTGTAACATATGAGTGTAAACTTCTTTTGAACAATTAAAATAATTGATGACGGTGAAATCCATTGATATATGCTTGATTACACCTGAAACTTGTAAATTGTATATCTAACATTAATAATTCATGTCAATTTAAATCTGAAGTTAGTTTCTTCTTAAACTAATGAGAAGTGGATATTGTATAGAACTACTCAAAAGCTCTCTGCTCTAATTTCACGAATACATTCACTTTTTATAGACCGAAGTGTTATGAATAACTTGAGTCTTTGGAAACCCTGAGAATTTTATTGTCACTATTACTTGAAAAAGGTGCTTATTTATCATTTTCCCCTTTATATGATAATTACAATCCTACTATTACTGATAATAACAACAAAAACAACAACCGAAAGTCTTTAAAAATTAATTTTATATTTCACATAAGTAGATAATAATCATGACAGGTTTTTTTTTGTATCTGTACATTGATATAAAGTAAATGAAGCAGAATTTTTCCTCTTCATATGTAATACAATGAAACAACTTAAGTACAATTAGCTCTCTAAGAAAAAGAGGTCTACAATTTCTTGTAATGAGGTTAAAATGGGAAACAAAGGAGGAAGAGGAGGAGGAGGAGGAGGAGGAGGAGGAGGGGTAATCCTCAGATATACATGTGTACATATATTACTTATAGACTAATTGAAAATATATCTACAAATCTACTTTATACATTTTATCTTATGATAAGCTTATCTAAGTTTATGTGTTTAACAGTGAATAGAGGTATTCATATAAGTGTTTAGTAAAGTATTTTATCTAATTGTAAATTGTTCATTGTATAAATAAAATATTGATAATTAAATTAGATATTTGGATCAGGAAAATTTGATAGGAAGATAACAATTTGATAGTTTCATTGTGTTGTTATTTTTTCGATTGTTAATACTATTGTTTGATTCGATATTTTGAGTACATTGTATCATATGTTTATTCAATAGACCCATTCGTGAAAATGAACGTGGACAATGTGGACATGAATAACGTTTTTCACGTTGATGTGTTTGCATATGCGCTCTTAGATTTGATCGATCTGCAAATGATCGACTACAAACACTACATGAATATGGTCTTTCACCAGTATGTGTACGTTCATGTCCTTTAAGGAGCCATTTACGTGAAAATGATTTACCACAATGTGTACATCGACATGGTAATGTGTGTGTACGTACATGCATTTTTAATGCGGATGCTTGTGAATAAACTTTGGAACAAAGTTTACAAGCATAACTATTAGGTCCATTGATAATTAATGTACGATCAGTACTTTTTGTGTTAGAATATTTTGAAATTATTGGATTTCCAGAATAGATCTTTGATTTCATATTACAAATATTTGTTAACTTTGAAACATCTTTTGTCATTGATTGAAGGCCAGACTTGGTCATTCGTATTGGTGAATAAGATGGTAATGAATGTGTTGTTGATGTAATAGTTGAAAGACGATTTAACAAAGCATTTTGATGATTATTCAATGAGAAATTAGACTGTAAGTTACAAGGAAAATTAGTTAAATCATATGATGAATAAGTTGATCCTAAAATATCTGAATTAATTGAAAGAGGTTCGTTAGAATGATGAAATGCTAATCTATCTATATTCTGAACATCTTTTAAAGAGTGGTTACTTCGAAAAGTATTGTTAACATTATTTAAACTATTAAAATCACAGGATTTATCATTGTTTGGATAATAAATATTGTTATTTTGAATTAAATGGGGTATAGGACTTGAGGTAGAAGAATTTCCTGTTATTTGTGGTGACTGACAAACGAGATATCTAAACCATTCAATATAACTAAGTTGCATTAATCTAGTATAATATTCATAAACTGCTGGATTTGACAATGAATGATCATTTGTTTCTGTATTATGATGAATCATTTCAGATTGTGAAGTAGGTAGTGTTTGATTTAGATTTGCTTTTTTCATAGATAAATTAATAGCATATTGCTCATTATTTGACTGTTCATGATCATATTTCAAAGAATTTTCATATTGATAGGGCAAATGATTTGTTAGGTTTTCAGTAGGGGATCTATAATCTTGTCTTATATTACTATTCATATTAAATATATTGTTTAATCCTGTATCACATGGTACAGTAGTATATAAACTATTTATTTTATTCATTTTAATATGATCTAATGTACAATTGAATTCATTGACTTCATTACTATTCTGAAGTTTTTCTTCTTTATCCAATTTATTATGATAATCATTAGGATCTTCAATTTCATGATCATTCATTTGATGATTCATTTGCTGATAACATAAACTAGAATCATATGGACTAGATTTTTCTGATGGACTTGGTAATGTACCTAATGTTGTATTACTACAATTAAAATCAGATATATTTAAATCATATTGTCCATTACGATTCATTGTTAAATCTTGTATAGATCTTTCTGAAGATGTTTCATGATTGTTTATTGATTTTTGTAATAGATCAAATTGTGGAAATATTTTTAAAAATTTATAAATTATTTCTTGAACATTTTGTAAATGATTCTCTTGTAATGTTTGTTCTTTAGTTATATTATTATTCATTACTGTTTGATTTAAATAATTAGTAGTATATAGATATGAATCATTAGATTTTGTAGAAATGAATGAATTTATTTCAGATGAATAAAATTTATTAAATACATTTGAAAATTGTTGCATAACGTTTATATTGAATAATGATGATGATGACAATGATGATGGTGATGATGAGATAGTTGATGATGACGATGATGATGGTGCCATATCAGTAAGATGATTAAGTTCACAATGTGAAGATATCCATGTATCTGTAGACATTCGTTTCAATATATAATATTAATCTAATAAATAATTATGTTTGAATGAAGATAATAGATGACTTATTAAAGATCACGATTCAAAATACAATGCTGTAAAATGAATATATATTACATTGATTAATATAATAATTTAAGAAGTGATGAAACGTGCTATTAACATAAAAGTAGAAAGAAATCTTATGTTAAAACTTTCAAGTCATTTAATATTTGACATAATCATCTATTATTTGACTGATTTATATATTTCAATGGTTGAGATCATGAGACAATTGAAGCTAGACCACCATAGAAAATCTGGAAGCACTGGATGGCCGTTTCATCTTAGTATAGGACTCCTCAGCAGCGTGCATCCACGACTCTGTGTGACCAATAGAGTTCAACGGGGTCTGTTGTGAGGCAGTAACTCACTGAAAACAATAATAGACGGTGGTGCAATATCGTGGATTGATTGAAGTTGGACATTAACACCACTGAATGCCAGCTCATTGGTCTAATGGTTAAGCGTTTGCTCGCGAGACTGATAGCTCCTGGGTTCGAATGTTGCGGGGGTGAGATCGTGAATACTCACAGCTGATGAGTCCCATACTAGGATGAAACGGCCATGCAGTGCTTTCAGGTTTTCCATGGTGGTTTAGCTTCAAATGACTCATGATTTCAAATAGTGAACTTACTAAAATCTCCACAAAACCCCTTCTGATAAAACTGATTCTGTTTATACTACTAACTTCTACACTTTTCTTACTTAAATGTATCAATGCTAAGGTTAGACTTGATAGTTTCAAAGTAACTGAATATTGGGTAGAAAGTTAGTAACAAATATATTTTCATTATATCTCAATGAGTAAACCTTAATATATTTATAAAGTTACCTATTTAAGTATATTCCACCATTATTAAAACATTCAATACCATCTTTATAATAAAGTCTGTTGTGATAAAAATGGGTACACTGTTATATAACTACTGACATTTCGTAATTTTCAATCAACTGTAAAGATATCAGAATTCTTATTCTTAATGAAAATTAAACATTTAGTTGGTAGTTTAATTATTAATTTCTTATTGAATAATTACTTTTATGATTTTAACTTCAATGACCAATTTGAAGTTATTTATATTCTGTATATTCCATAAATTAGAATTATTACAAGTTAAATCTATTTTTAATAGTTGAGTCACGACCAAACCATCCAGCTCAGAGAACAAAACTCCACCAAAATCATCCACCTGAGCTACAAATCTTCTCCACCATCTCAATAGTTGAGTCAGTCAATTGAAGTTGGACCATCATGAAAAACCTGTAAGCATTAGATGACCGCTTCGTCCTAGTATGGGAATTCTCATCAGTGCACATCTACAATCTATAACTAGCAAAATAATTAGTTTATCCATATGAGAGTACATTTTAAAAAAATCTATTTATATAAGTAGTTGAAGAGTTAGTAACTAATTTTAAGGAATAAAATAACCAATTCATTTGCTTTTTAGAAGTTTGAAGTATAATCGATTACACTGAATTTTGGAATTGGAATTTTTGCTTATGTATCAGTTACTAATAAACATTTTGGATTTTAATCTTTAATTCAATTTATTTTAAAACATTAAATAGAAGGCAATATATTCACCTTGAATGGATGACTAATATATGAAGCCTCATAATTTCAGTTTCCCTAATATTGGTAAGGATTCAATAAAGTACCATTAGTATATAATGCGATTTTCCTGCAACCGTTAATTATAATGTTCAATAATTAACACATAATCATACCTAAGAAATAAAGTGAGAGGTATTTTTACTATAATTCGGTGATATATCAGACATCATGACGTTGGGAAGTACACTATTCAGTGAAACAGTTATCTAGTCTTTTTTTCAGGAGATGCGAGCAGCTTTAAACTGAGTATCCAAACACTTCCAAAAGTAATAACTTTATGTAATTTTCATTTATTCTACTACTTTCAAAACAAAGAACTGACATAAAATGCTATAGAAAGATTTCAACTTGAATCGTACTGCTAAATGCAGATCGTCATCATTATATTATAAACTTTGGATATCTTGGCAAACCAGTTAATCACTTAATTGATATATTGTGGTTCATATTTTCAATTTTGGCCAATATGTAGTGTAATAAGATCCTCATCTATTATCGCTAGTCTTTTGTTATCTCATTTTTGACTTGATTGAATCAACCCGTCAACGTTTACCGTGAGACTTTAGAAGATCAACGCACAAGTTTCTTGAAAGTCAACAAATAATTATGATTTAGTTGTAGATATTTAGGAAGACTATGGGGTCATTCGTTGAGAAGATTGGGTAAGAAACGAAATAAGGAATAATGTTGATCTATCTCCTAAGTTATGTCTAAATACAAACAAATAGTTTTAATGTATGGTTTATTATTTTTTTAAAGAGACCGTCTTTAAAAACAATTGTTTTAGATACAGTTCTCTATAATGAAATGAATTATAGTATCAAATAGGTTCACTCAATAAATATTATAACATTTTCAAGTAATTGGTTTTGGTCATTAAATCAAAAGTTATAACAGTACCGATTTTTATTTACCTAATATCCTCACCATATTACCCCAGATACTTATCATAAAGTCATTGTCAACCTAACAATTAAAGATTGGAAAATAGTGCATTAGCTTTGTGAATAGTTAACGTTCCTTACTTTTACTCTTTTTATTATTATTATTATTTCGATTGATTTATGACTATTCAACTGGCCATTAAAACTGTTCATATAAAGAGAAATTCGATTAAGTTCTATATTTCCCTTTTTCCTTATTTCCTTTTTTTAGTTAACTCATCAAAACACACACACACCCTGAAATTATGTAATACAGATTTCAATTGACTACAGTCATAAAACATGAATCAAAATATTTTTAAAGTGAAATAATTAATTCACCCAGATGTTTGTGTTAGTGACACGTGTCCATTCGAATTCATTATGAAAGTCAAAAGTAATTGCTATTTAACTTTTCATTGTAATTCTTTATCATTATTATTATACGAATTTATTTACAAAAGGGACTGATAAACTAAAAAAAGATTTTAATGGATAATTAAATTAAGTGTTTCGTTGGTCTTGTAGTACTTGTCTCTAGATGATCAAAAAAGAACACTGATACTATTACTTTAAGGATCTTATTATGGTTTTAAAGCATCTGATATTGAGATGATACGTGAATATCAGTGTCAATGCTTATATATATAATAGTGACGTCTTGATAAAGTAGTTTGTGCTACTTAATTATGAAATATGTTTTTTTTGAAGAATTACACTACATTCTTAAATGATACACTGCTTCTCTAACCATGACAAAGTTTTAATTTCAATGGCTGGGATCATGAGTCAGTTGAAGCTAAACCACCATGTATCGCTCAATTTCGTGGATTGGTTAAAGTTAGAAATTAACACCGTTGGATGCCGGCCAGCTTAGTGGTCTAGAGGTTAAGCGTTCGCGCGAGAGACTGATGGGTCCTGGGTTCGAAGTTCACGGGGAGGGCGGGATCGTGGATGCGCATTGCTGAGGAGTCCCACAATAGAACGAAACGGTCATTCAGTGCTTCCAGGTTCCTAATGGTGGTCTAGCTTCAAATGACTCATGATTTCAACCATTGAAATTACTATAATATCCACAAAAACATTTAATTGTTAAAGCTTCATACAATGTACTTCTATTTAAGTCTCAAAGCTGTTTGTATACTTAGTGATGAAAATATTACGAATTATTCGCTTAATAAATCCTTATTCAAACTAATCCAACCCTAAAATAAAGTAAATATTGTGTAGTCGGCTTTAAACATTACTTCTTATTTTGAGACTGAGATAACACATTAAAAAAACTGAGATAAGTAGATCAGGGTGTGAGTTTTCAACTCCATCTAAACTTGTTACATGATAATTGTTAGCAATTCGTCATTTCAACTTTATCAATAAACAGCTTAGTGAAGATGGAATTAACTCTTCTAAATGTTCCAGCTTAATCATTTGTAGAAACTATTTATTGCTTATTTATTTGAACACATAAATATTAGTGCAAAGGGGTATCGAATACATATGCACCACGCAAGTCACACGATTTGTGCGTGGGTTGTGATACTCCCTGAGCCTTTGATCTAGAGGTCTAATCCACAAGGCAATGGAGTAACCTTGGAAGATGCAGTTCCATGGTAGTCGGTGGCCAACAATTGGTTCATACGCCATTTGTTTCCTCAGGATGTGCACCATTGGTTTAGAATCAGGGTTTTACAACTCCCCTATGTGGGTCCTCCATATCCACCAACTAACCCGGTTAAAGTTCCGGACATTCTCTTTCCGTCCTCTCAATTCCGTAAACAACAGTATTGCTGTTAGGATGGATTGAGTAGGACCTCTCAATTAGTGGCTGCATATGCATGGCCATATGAGAGCATTTAGAGAGAGAGAGAACTGACTTTTCCCACTCTCCGCCGTACCAGGGCATTTGGGGGTCATTTGTAAAAACGAAGGAACTACTAATATGGGAGCCCATTCTAACCAATCATAAATCACTTAATATAGCAGGAGGCCAGATAATCCACTTTTCTCTTGAGTTGACTTATTAAAATAATTTTCTTTTTAAGATCAGTAAATCAGTAGAATAAAAGATATAAATGCGATACTCATTGAGCATACAACAAAGATCTAGTAAGCAAATATCGTTCAAGTTAACATTAATTGAAAAAACAGAAAGATTTCAATTTTTAATAAAAACAAGATCTTGAATGAAATAATCTTAGAGCTCATTAATCATTCAAAACTGTTCTTTATTACATGCGTACTGAGTGATCTATTTTTCATTTACCATAAATTTAAGAATAAATCTTTAAATGAAGCTCAACAACGAAACATTAAATCTTGGCTTAACACTAAAACAGAAATGATAAATGGTCTCACAGAAATTATCGACAGTCCTAATTACAGAATGAAATCAATTTCAGTGTTTACATCGTTACAATTCAAAGTATGTAATAAATATTTAGCTTGAAGAGAAGAAAAATGAAATTAAAAAATTATGCCTAATTCGCAAATTTATGCCATTTGTACAGCTGCACACAGCAGACAAAAATGAAAAGTGTTCTCCGTCAAAATTGAAGAATACGTGAAATGAACCCAAAAAAAATATCACAGTCTTATCAATGTTGCCACGGGAGGATACCGCATCATTTTATGGAAACATGATATGATAGGAAAGTGAATGACCTACAAACTAATCACGTTTATGATTGTGATTATTTTGTTTATAAGGATGTTATTTTATTACATAAAATATTCATTATACTGGGTACTTGTCTTACCACCTGGTATCAGTTCAATTGGTAGCTTATATAATTAATCTGATTTAGTTAGAAGTTATCACTCCGCATCATGGTATTATTTGCATGCTATTAGTCAGTCAGCGTATTTGACCGGTTAACTTATAGTCCTCAAACGTCTTTTATTGAAAATCTTCGGATTTCAATTCATAGTCGTTTTAAACTGGATTTTACTGTTAAATTCATTAATATTAGTTGACGTATTGCAAAATTTAAGAGTGAGTCAGACAACTGACCTTATCTGATAAGGATTATGAGTACCTCAAAACAACTCTTGTAGACTGTTGTAAATAGCATATCTACAACTAAACGATTGCTCATAAAAGATCATAGTTATTTGTTTATCACCTGAATGACTAATTTGATTCAATCTTTTGAATAAATAACATAATGAGTACATTCATTTCCTTATTTCAACATTATTTTACCTTATCATTTAAATCACCCAGTTTTAAAAAAGGTGAACATATTGGTTTGAAAGTCTACTAATCTTATTACACTTCTACATTGAAAAGTTTACAGTGACATCGGGTTTACGGCAATTGTATAGGATAGATAAAATAAAACCTTTTGCAATGTCCAGTATGTAGTTAATGAATCCCAATAGTCAACTTGAAAATGATGCGTAATATTCAGGTTTTAGTTTCACTTTTTCTCAGGGAGTGTCAATCATTCCTTCAAGTTTAAACATGTTAACATAAATTTTGAACATCAAGAGATTTTTTTCAAACATTTGCATTCTATTAATGGATAAGTGTGAAATTGGGAAAATGTATTCTATTATCGAAAGAAACAATACTTGAAATCTTGTCATCAGAATTACCGAATGAATAATTGATTTTCAGAAAACCTACTCTAATGTAACGGGAAATCATCTGGAACATAAAATTCATAGATATCCTAGTAAAATATATTTGATTCATTGGGATGGAAAGTTTTTAAAAAAGGGTATGCAGATCTTGGTAACATCAGATAACTGTCGTGTTACTTTAAGTTCACTGGCGCTAACCACTGACTTTCATTCAATTAAGGCAGTTAAGTGATGTATGGAAGATATATTGTCAAACAAGTTTCTGAATTTCATGAGCACGTGTATTTCCATAGAATTTCTTAATTACTATTACGTATTCTGACAGATTTGTACATCGAACTGCAATAATCTTTAGTATTTACATTAAAAAATGGGAATATAAAGTTTATATACCATACAGAACAGATCGTTTGACTTGCCTATTTTATGTGTGGTAGTCAGTTAGCGGTTCCAACAACTTTGAATTAGATTTACGAAATGGAAATAGAAATTTTACGAGTTTTAAGAAGACTGAATAATGAAGTTGTACTTGAAAGATTTAATCCTGACCCACAAGTTACAATTGACTTAAAGTTACAAGGTCTTATCTCATTTTTATATATGGACGCGAGTGGATGATTTCTTCAGAAAAAAAAGTACAAAAGATATGTACGTAATAAATTTTGAATGTAATGTTAACTAAAAAAGTCATAGGATACTCTGGAATTCATTCTAAGACGCTTGATGGATAATAATCATACTATTTATTTTCATTTCAGTAGTTCAGCTGCTCCTATAGAATCAGTTATATTGGACATGTAATCAGGCAGTTACACCATCGGATTTCTGAAAACCATTCTTATAGCTGACCGAATGACAAAATAAAATAATAAGAAGCTCTGTTCTGGGATATTAAGTCCGTAATGGTCACCACATTTAAAAAATTAGCCTTCAAGGTTATCTGTAGAATTCTGTTCAACTTGCCTTATGCTTTCAGAATCAGTCTCCGAAGTACAGAGAAACCCATGAGAATAGGTATGAATATACTTGAAACCTGTGTGTAGTAAAAGTTTATACAATCTTTCCGGCTATCCTGATCTGCTACCTAATTACTATTATGTCGCTCAAAATATTTTTCAATCCTTTCAATTTTATGTTATCTTCTATTTGTATTCTTACGTAATCTATCTGAAAAAACCATATCATCAACTGCTAATTATCGCTTTTAGGGAAGATACGAAGGCAAATAGCGAGATTGATTACAATCTTATTTATTTGTCATTTAATCTATGTTTAATTTAAAAATCTATTTATTAGTGTAGGACCATGATAAGAAACTAATTGAATAAAGAACTTTCAGATTATCAACATGTTTTTGTAAATATTATCTAGCCGATATTTTCTTATACACTTTAATTATTTTAACAGTCGAATTTGTGAATCAATCTAAGTTGGACTACTATCAAAAACCTGAAAGCATTGCACATTTTTTTCATCTTAGTATGGGACTCTTCAGAAATACGCATCCACGATCCCGTGGGACTCGAACTCAAGGCCTTCGATCTCGCAAGCGAACACATAACCTCTAGAACACTGAGCTAGGATCCAACTGATACATCTCATAAATTTAGTCATCATACAACAAATTGTAAGTTGTCTAGAATGTTCTTCCCTATTTTCTACTTTTCATTGAACTCTTTTGTAAATGGTCAATATTATTAAAAATGATCTTTAATATAAAGCTGGTATTATTTAATGAAATTAAAAAGAAATATATTGACTGATCCAATGCAAATACACTATTCAACTTACCTAAGAAAAAGTTAAATTGTCATATCAAGTCACTTCAATTGTAATCGTAGTTATTTCGAACGTTTATATCACATTAGTAAACAGTTGTATAGTAATTTCCTAGCTAGTTATATACATTTTAAATCCATATATAAAAATGTATTTTAAAAAAAAGGAAACCGTAACTGACTTAGTAACTGTCTATTATATATAGCTACTTGCCCCTCCCCCTCCTCAAAAAAATTTGTTAATACACATGTATGGACATATATATATATTGTTGATTTATTTCTCTTCAAAGTGTAATACACAAACATGTGATATGTTCATATAATGTACGTGTGTGTATTTACCAGTTCACATAATATGGTTGAACGGTTGATGTTGATGTGTGCACAAGTGTTTGACTATTTTTTTCTTTCTCCTCCTTCATTGAAAATGATGAATTTTCAAGTGAGTACATGTAGAAATCACAAAATGTAAATGGAATGACAATGATAACAACTACCATTTACAGTGTATATGATGACTGGATATTTCTGTATTTTGTTTTTCTCTTTGTGTCATAAATATAAATACCACATTTTTGGTAAATGTGCTATTGATGTCATCAATAATAAGTGTCAAGTGGTAACTAAAAATGGCATTTTAAGAAAATCAGTGAGTAAAATCAATGATGGATAGTAAAAACAAGGAATGAACCAATCAATAAAATGAGACGTGGTCATGATTGTATAATTATGCCACACAAAATAATGACAATAATAATATGAACAGAGTAAGATGGGAGCATATTGTTTGAGATTCTCATATGTATTTACTATATTTAATTATTATCACTAGTAATTTACATTAAATGTGAAGTTTAATGAAAAATGAGTTGGTTTCACGTGGTTTTACTGTGTTTTTTTCATTTCTTAACTGTTTACACTTCAATATGACAAGACAAATCAAATTTAAGCGTAATACATACACAATGAATAATCACGTTTAAAAAAACAAGTTGCATATTAGTTTTTTTAAAATGATCTATCAATTTGAGATTCTAACCTAACTGAAATAAATGTTCAGCAGAAATCTTGAAGTTAGTATCAGAAGGAGTTTTGTGGAGATTTTTAGTAATTTTAATAGTTGAGATCATGAGTCAATTGAAGCTAGACCACCATGGAAAACCTGGAAGCACTGGACGGCCGTTTCGTCTTATTGTGGGACTCCTCAGCAGTGCGTATCCATGATCTCGCCTCACGAGATTCGAACCCAGGACCTATCAGTTTCTCGCGCGAACGCTTAACCTCTAGACCACTAAGCTGCCCGGCATCCAACGGTGTTAATTTCTAACTTTAACCAATCCACGAAATTGAGCGATACACTCACCATTGTCTTCAGTGAGTTACCACATCACAACAATTGAACATCATTGGTCACTACTTCTCATTAGAACTCCAGGAAATACCTTTTGAAGCCAGTCACTAGTATTTTGTGGACATTATAGTAATTTAAATAGTTGAAATTTCTATGGAGAGATCAGGTTATCTCTCCTTTTGTTCAAATCTATATATCTGCCATAACTTTAGCTATCATCTAATTGATTGTTGATCATTAACTTTGTTATGCTCCAACTTCATCACATTTTACTATGTATACACTGTTGTTCATTTCAATTTTTGACTTTTAATCGAAAAATACATCTATCCTGATTATCCTATCCTCTCTATCTCATATTAGAATGTGAATTATTAACGTTGAAGTATTGCTGTATGTCAGATTTCCGGTCTATTAGAGTGCATATTCCTTCTCGTTCCTACAACAACAAAAACAACAAATCCCCAATTCTTCGTAAATAGTATTGATAATAATCCAGAAGGGAACCATAAATACTTAATTGTTTTTACCAACATTTAACAAAAATATTAGAAGTCTACTTATAACTAGAAACATAAATCCTAATAACCAAGTACATGTTTCTATGGGTTTTTTTCTCGTAGAAACTACCAAAAATGAATTTCAACCTTGATAGAAATGACCAGAAATGTTAATTTAGAATTATAGAAAGAATTCTATTACAGACTTACATTAATAATTAAAATTTTAAATTAAGTAAATACTTTAGTTTCAATAGTTGAGATCATGAGTCAATTCAAGCTAGACCACCATAGAAAACCTGGAAGCACTAGATGACTGTTTTGTCCTATCGTGGGACTGGTCAGCAGTGAGTATCCACGCACTTTAGTATTCAACAATTATATTCATTGTATACTATTCTTATGTAAACTTTAGTTAATAAGTAGGAAAAGAGACTACAATATATCAGTGTATAAATTACATCTATCATCAGTGTACAGGTTAAACTGTTATCATATAACTTTCGAATAAGAATACTTATGATAAGAGTAGGTAGGAAAACATATATGAAAATCAACTACTCTTTGATTAATTATCTTGTAGATTTTTTCGTTTGCTTCGGAACCATTGAACAGTCATCCACTCTGAAGAAGTGGCTTATATTAAGTTACGAAACATCAAAAATATAATTTTTCTACTCATTAGGATATAACAGAAAATATATTTATTATTAGCTCTCTACCTAATGTTCACTTTATCTGAATGGTATTTATGTCAACTATTATTTGTACACTTTTTTTTAAAATTCATTGATTAGTTTCAGTATGATGTTTTGGAGATTGTTGAGTTCTTATTGAGACCATGAATGGATCAATGTCTAATCACATGAATAACATATTACACTGTTGAACAGTGATTATAGCAAATTAAATAGTTTTATTTCATTCTAACTGTTAGTTTATGAAAGTGAGATGTTAAATCTATCATTTGTAATAAATAATACAGAAATGGAAATAGATGAAGTGAATGTTAGTAACTTAGATGATATAACAAGTAATTATAATGAAAATATACTTTTCTTGATGCATGAGATCATTAACAGTTTGCAAACAGAAAGCGAGTATTTAAAGATTATCATCAGAAGGGGGTTTTGTGGAGATTTTAGTAATTTTAATAGTTGAGATCATGAGTCAATTAAAGCTAGACCATCATGAAAAATCTGGAAGCACTGGACAGCCGTTCATTCCTAGTATCGGTCTCTTCAGTAGTGCACATCTATGATCCCACGGGACGTGAACTCGAAACCTTCAGCCTCACGTGAAAACGCTTAACCTTATCAATTAAAAATCTCTGAATTTATTGAAGTAGCCTTTTAAATCAAATTAGCATAATTCTTAGTGGATAAAATTCATTTTTGTACATTAAATAATTTTACTAAACAGTCAAAATATGATAACACCTAAAAAAATTTATGGTTTATTTGTAGTAACATTTCTATCGCAACTTTACGTTCTGACTAAAGACGTTCATTTTCAGAGACAGTTTAATATCCATCTTAATATTTACTATGCATTGTAAAATAAAACTTTAAAAACATTGCTGAGACCTTCACAGATATAAAAGCTGAAATCACTGGATAGTCATTTTTAATCTTAATATAGGACCCTTTCAGTTTGCGTAGTCATGAGTAAGGAGTCCTGAACGAAATGAACATTCAGTGTTTCCAGGTACTTAATAACTGTTTAACTTCTATAATTTCATAATCTTTTGCAAGTCAAAGTTATGAAAATCACCATTCTTGTTCCGTTTTCTTACTCACATATAAATAACTAGTATATAATTAATTAAGATATGTATAAGGCTAAAAAAACTATCAGAATAACTCAAAAAAGTCAATTAACATATAATAACTTACTTGAATATGTATAGAAGTATTTTAATATAATTTCTTTTTATAATAAGATTGAAATTCTATTCTTATTTTAAAGATCCAAATGGAATAGTTATACATGTACAGATTCTCATCAAAGGAATTAATATTACCAACTAGTTTCAAGTAAAACAATAACAAGTTATTATTATCTCTGAAAATGGCTTTTATTTTATTTTTTTCAAAAAAAAGGGAGGGGGAAAGGATTTTGAAGGGGTTGAAATGAGCAAATAATTCCCCTTTTTTGATTGGTTCAACCTGTTTTAACTTGTCGGTATGTAATGCATAGATTGTTAAAACGCCATTTGAACTTATCGACTCAAAACATACAATTCCATTTTATTGTCTTTTTTTATATTTTTAACAAGAAAGTATGTTCTATTCTGTACAATCTGACTTTTGTAGAAAAAAAAAGCAAATATGTCAAGCTCTATGGTCCCTTTTCACTTCACTTTACAATTCATGTGAAGTTGAATTTGTGTGTATGTGTGTGTTTAACTCTCAATCTCCTTTCCTATTTCTATTATTTCAGATTTCATTTGTATTTTCTTATCTATCTCATGCATTCATAATTGTATACATTAACTTGTCGCTATTGGGCAGAGAAAAAGGACGACTGTGAATAGTAAAATAACCAATAGAAATTCGAATCTGAAACAGGTTAGAAGAAACGAAGTTCTGTGTTTTACAACATTCATAAAATTTATTTAAAAGGGAGAGAAATTTCCCGAGTAGCTCTGCTTTAACAGTTTACGCGATATTCAATTTTGATTGTCAAAATAATCCTGCATAGGAACTGTATACAGAATTTAATTTTTCCAGTTAATTATAGTAAATCACAGGTTATTGATCAATCACATGGTGACTGCTGATTGCAAAGAATGAACTGGGAAAACTTTGAACTATCATCTGTTGACTGACATTGAGAAAGAGTACCAATGATCTTGAAAACCATTTCCCATTGACGATTCAATCTTATATCATTCAATATCATAATAAGAAATGGTTAACCCAAAAACAACTCTGGAATATTCTATTCATAGACGGATACAAAAGTATATTTCAATTTGTGGGTAGTACTTTGAGAGGAAATTAGTTAGCTGGAGAACAAGATAATTACTTCTATTTTCCGTATCAGTCGGTGAACTAGGGAAATACTCTATTATCAGTTAGTAATTTTATTTAAAAATCAGACAATAACTGAAACTAGGGAGTACTACAAAGTCAGTACTCTCTGGCGATTTTAATTCCGTGTTACTCAGCTTCATGGTTAGAGATGTTGCTACTGAACCATTTGGGCTCCAACTTACCTCG